AGTGTGCAGGAGGCAGCTGATCGATGTTTCTCTCTCATCGATGTTTCTAACTCTCTATCCCTCTCCCTTCCTCTCTGTAAGAAATCAATAAAATATATTTTTAAAAAATTGGAAAAGAAGTAAAAATGTCCTTATTTGCAGATGACATGATACTGTACAGAGAAAAACCCCAATTATTCCATCAAAAAACTACTAGACTTAATAAATGAATTTGGCAATGTAGCAGAATACAAAATTAACACCCAGAAATCTATGGAATTTTTATATACCAACAGTGAACTCACAGAAAAAGAAACTAAAAAAATCAATCCCATTTAGCATTGTACCAAAAAAATTAAAATACCTAGGAATAAACTTAACTAAGGAGGTAAGAGACCTGTACTCGGAAAACTACAGGACATTGAAAAAGGAGATAGAGGAAGACATAAACAAATGGAACATACTGTGTTTATGGATTGGTAGAATCAACATCATTAAAATATCCATACTACCCAAAGCAATCTCCAGATTCAATGCAATCCCCACTAAAATACCAATGGAATATTTCAAAGACCTAGAACAAATTCTCCAAAAATTCATCTGGAATATAAAAAAAGACCCCGAATAGCCACAGCAATCCTGAGAAAAAAGAACAAAGTTGGAGGGACCACAAAACCAGATATCACGCTACCAGGTGTTCCGTGAATAATGTGGATTTTGTAATCAAAGAAAACACAGTAATTTCAAGAGAAACATCAAAAGTGCTTTATTCAAAGTAATGTCCATCACTAGCTACACATTTCCCCCATCTTTCAGGTAATTTGTGGATACTGTCCCAATAGAACTTTTCTGTTTTGTGGCAAACCATTCAGAGACCCAATTTTCCACTTCTTCATACGTTTGAAGTGCTGCTCAGAAAGTGCGTGTGCCATCGATCGGAACAAGCGGTCATCTGAAGGAGCAAGTTGTGGTGAATATGGTGGGTGGGTTAATACTTCCCAGGGAAGATCTTTTAACATGTCTTTAACTGGTTTTGAAGTGTGTGATGGTGTGTTATTATGAAGCAACCACTTTACCATTTGCAACAACATGGATGGAACTGGAGAGCATTATGCTAAGCGAAATAAGTCAGTTGGAGAAGATAAATATCACAGGATCTCATTCATATGTGGGATACAATGAACAACATAATTTGATGAACAAAACTAGATCCAGAGACAAAATGGCAGGGGAGGGGGGGTTAGAGATGAACCAAAGGACTTGTATGCATGCATATTAGCATAACCAATGGACACAGACACTGGGGAGGTGAGGGCTTGCACTCGGGGGGAGGGGGGGGGTCAATCAGGGAAAAAGAAAACATATGTAATACTTTAAACAATTAAAAGAAAAGAACTAACCCTACCAGCACCTTGATCTTGTAGTCTCCAAAATTATGAGAAAATAAATGTCTATTGTTTAATCTATCCAGTCTATGATACTTTGTTGTGGCAGCCCTAGAAAACTAATACAAAAGACAATGGATGGAGGACTTCCTCATTCTTTTTAACAAGACACTGCCACTGGCAATACAGTGGTTCCCCTTATCCATAGGTAATACATTCCAAGATCACCAGTGTAAGCCTGAAACCGAGGACAGTAATAAACCCTATATAAACTATGTTTTTTCTCTAGACATACATATGATAAAGTTTGATTTATTAATTAGGCACAGTAAGAGATTAACAACAATAACTAATAAAATAGAACAATAATAATATATTATAGTAAAAGTTATGTGAATGTGGTCTTTCTCAAAATGTCATATTGTTCTGTATTCACCCTTCTTCCTGTGATATGAGATACTACAATGCCTACTGATGAGATGAAGTGAGGTGAATGGCTTAGGCATTGTGAGAGCAATAGGCTACTTTATTAGGGTTATTTGAACACAAGCACTAATAATTCCACAGTTTATCTGATAACTGAGACAACTGTGTAAGTGACTAAGTGACTAGTGGACGGGTAGCATTATGCAGTATGGATACACTGGATAAAGAGATGATTCTCCCAGATTTGGATGGAGTTGGAAGGTGAGCTTCCATCATGCTACTCTAAAAAACACTCAATTTAAAACTTAGTGTTTATTTCTGGGATTTTCGGTTTAATATTTTCAGACTGTGGTTTACTACAAGTAACTGAAACCACATAAAATGAAATGTCAAATAAAGGGCAACTACTGTATACCTAGAATATATTGTTAGGGGAAAAATTTTAAGACACATAATAGCTTTATAATTTTTTTAGAAATTATTTTTGTCTATGCATAAAAGAAACATATGTAATTATGTATACTAAACTGATAATAGTAGTTATTACTGAGCATAGTGAGAAAACATTTCTACTTTACTCACTTTTTAATTTCCATTGTTTTTATGTGAGCATTTGTTACTTTAACAATTCTAAGAGTTTTTATCTTTAAGGAAATATGCCTACCTCTCATCCTTTTTCGTGAAGGAAAGTTATTAATACACTAGAGGCCCGATGCACGAAGATTCGTGCAAGAATGAGCCTTCCTTCCCCTAGCTGCCAGCACCGCCTTCGCTCCGGCCGGAGCCACCTTTCTGCCTTCATTCTGGCCCGGAGCCTCCTTTCCACTTTCCCACGCTGCCCAGAGGCCCAGAGCTGCCTTCATTCCGGCTCAGAGCCACCTTTCTGCCTTCCCACAATGCCCAGAGGCCCAGAGCGGTGCGGAACGCCTGCATCATCGCCATGGCGACGAAGCAAGCATCCCACCCCACCCCCGACTGCTCAGTGCCTGCATATGCAAATTAACCCACCATCTTTGTTGGGTTAATTTGCATACTCACTCCTGATTGGCTGGTGGGCGCAGCAAAGGTATGGTCAATTTGCATCTTTCTCTTTTATTAGTGTAGATAAGCCACGTATACTAGAATCGGTTATGGCAGTAACAATTACTTTTTGGCTAAAAAGGGTTGTCGTCAATCAAGTTGTAAACTGTCACTTATGTACGGACACATGATATCAGTCTATTTTATGAGTCATTTTAGGTAATGCCAAATATTGAAACATGAAACTTGGTATTCAGAAATTCTTGGATCTAATTTATCTCCAAACTCACCATGTGATTCCAGACAATGCACCAAGTTATATATGTTCTCCTTCCTATAAAATAAAAATACCTAATATAAGAGTGAATTTCATTAAATTAAATGTATACATATGTCATACTTTTTCTATAAAAAGCTCAATTTTAAAGTTTGATATGTTTGCCATATACATGTAACTTATTTACATAATTGGTTCATTCCTGAATGAATCCTAATTTAGTGAGCAAAATGGTGATTCTATTAAGCATTTACTACATGAATAAATCTGAATTATTACATTATAAATATTTTTTAAATGCATCCTTTTGTAAAAATGAGGAATCACCTCATAATGTATTGTTTAAGTAAATCTGAATTTTCAAATACTAAGTGATATTAATCTTTTACTGTTACCTATTCTTATTTCAGATATAACTGAAATTATTTCCATAAGAACACATAATTTTAAACATGCTTTAATTTACATTTTTCTGGTTTTTATCAATGAACTTAAAAAGAAAAGAAAATTAGTTGGATATATTTTATCATAGATTAACTTATTCAAAAATAACTACTCATTCACTCCTTCTGTATACAAGGTAATGTGCTAAGTTCTAGGGGAAAAAAACAAAGATGAGTATGTCATAATCCATGTCTTCAGAAAGCTACAGTGTAGTATGTCAATAATCCTTTGGGCTTAAAAAAGACATTTGTTGGCGTTGGTTGAAAATTACCTGTGACCTTGGCCATGGCCATGGGTGAGAGTCGGCACCCAAAGCCACGTGGGGCCTCAGCTCACTGTCCACTCGATGTGGGGAGGTGAAACCCAGGCCCCGACACACGCAAAAAGTAAAAATGACATTTGAACTGCTTTAAGAATTTGTTTTCTGGATTCACACACACAAGCATAAATTTTATAAAATATACAATATTTTTATAAAGCTGTTTTAGTTATAAAGCACAAAAGTTCAAATATTAGATAGCAGATATCTAAAATATTGAGAAACACGGCTAATTCAACCTTCATATTGCTTTTTATCCTCAGGCTGAAAAAGCAAGTTTTCCTGCTTTTTAATTTCCAAGGCATTTGGTCTGAACTGAAATAGTCTACAGGGATAAAAAAGCATTATTTTAACTTCAGAAGTAATTGCTATAAATGGTTGAACTACTATCACCAGAGACTCTATGGAATCTTGTTTTTAACTAAATTCACCAAGTTTTGAAGTCTCACTATTTAAGTCTCTTTAACTCAATTACTTGAATAATTGTAGCTTGTTCCTAAACATTCCTGATTGGCTGGTGGGCGCCTCAAAGGTACGGTCAATTTGCATCTTTCTCTTTTATTAGTGTAGATAAGCCACGTATACTAGTATTGGTTATGGCAGTAACAATTAAATTAGTGTTATGTATATGTCCTATAGATAAATACATGACAATTAAATTAGTGTTATGTATATGTCCTATTGATAAATACATGACAATTCTTGCTCAGCATTAAGCACTTACTAGTACCAAGAATACAGTATATTTTTAAGAGCCACATTACACAGCCTATGAGACTCATTATATTATACTAGAGGCCCGGTGTACCAAATTTGTGCACGGGTAGGGTCCCTAGGACTGGCGGGCAATCAGGGCCAATCAGGGCCTTCCAGCTGGCGGCCAGGGTCTTCCTTCCCTGTCTGCCGTCTGAGGCTTTCCTTTATTCTGCACCGCCCCCTGGTGGTCAGTGCATGTCATAGCGAACTACTGGTCCCCAATCGAACTCCCGTGGGGACAATTTGCATATCAGGTTTTTATATATAGATTTGTTAAATGACTATATAAATGTAATTTAGCAAAACCCTAAAACATTCCATTTATAACTATTTAACTAATAAATGATCTGTCTATATGAATAAGATATGAATCATTGCCTATGACTATAGAGATAACTTTTAAGATAACCTTCTTCCAAAGCTACAGGACCATAGTAACTACTCAGAGACCTAAATTAATACACTCACAAACACACTATAAAGTTAGAAAACCAATGCAAATAAATGAAACTAGATCACCAACTTAAACCATACAAAAAAAATAAGCTCAAAATGGATAAAAGACTTAAATGTAAGATGGGAAACCATAAAAATCTTAGAAGAATTCATAGGCAGCAAAGTATCAGACATTATTTTGTAGCAATATCTTTACTGATACATCTCTTAGGGCAATAGAAACTAAGGAGAAAATAAACAAAGGGAACTACATCAAAATAAAAAGCTTCTGCACAGCAAAAGAAACCATCAACAAAACAATGAGAGCCCACTGCATGGGAGAACATATTTGCCAGTGTTACATTGGATAAGGGTTTAATCTCCATAATTTATAGAGAACTCATACAACCTAACAAAAGGAATATAACCAATCAAATCAAAAAATGGGCAAAGGACCTAAATAGACCTTTTTGAACGAGGACATACAGAAGGCTGAGACATATGAAAACATGCTCAAAGTCACTAATCATCCGAGAGATGCAAATCAAAACAACGAGGTACCATCTCACACCTGTCAGAATGGCTATCATCAAAAAATCAACCAATGACAAGTGCTGACAAGGATGTGGTAAAAAAGGAACCCTCATACACTGTTGGTGGGAGTGTAGACTGGTGCAGCCACTATGGAAAACAGAATGGAGTTTCCTAAAAAAACTAAAAATGGAACTCCCATTTGACCCAATAATCCCACTTCTAGGACTATCCCAAGAAATCAGAAACACCAACCAGAAAGCTTATATGCACCCCTACCTTCATAGTAGCACAATTTATAATTGCTAAGATTTGGAAACAGCTTAAGTGCCCATCAGCAGATGAATGGATTAAATAACTGTGGTATATCTACAAAATGGAATACTATGCTGCTGTAAAAAAAAAAAAAAAAGAAAAGAAAAGGAACTCTTACCATTCGCAACAGCATGGATGGACCTGAAGAGCATTATGCTAAGCGAAATAAGCCAGTCAGAGAAAGATAAACATCACATGATCTCACTCATTTGTGGAATATATTGAACAACATAAACTGGTGAATAAAAATAGATTCGGAGACATAGAGGCATCAAACAAACCATCAAACCTCAGTGGGAAGGCAGGGGGAAACAAGAGATCAACCAAAGGACTTGTATCCATGCATATGAGCATGACCAATGGACACAGATAATAGGGAGCTGGGGGCATATGCTGGTGGGCGGAGGCAGGCGGGGAGAGGTCAAGGGGGGGGAAAGGAAACATATGTAAAACTTTCAACAATAAAGAATTTAAAAAAAAAAAAGAAATATAACTTGCAAAAAAAATTAAGTTGGAAAACCTCTGGTGCAATTAGAACCACTATGTCAGCCTAAAAATGCACTGTGTAATAAATACAGTAGCCACTAGCCACATATAACTATTTAAGTTTCAATTTATTAGAGTTAAGTAAATTTTAAAATTCAGTTTCACTAGCCACTTTTCAAATGCTCAAAGTCACACATGGCTGGTGACTTACTATACTGGACAGTGCAGGTACAGGATATTTCTATCGGACAATGCTGGTCTAAAGAATCATTACCAGCCCTAGCCGGTTTGGCTCAGTGTATAGAGCGTCAGCCTGTGGACTGAAGGGTCCTGAGTTCGATTCTAGTCAGGACATGCCCGGGTTGCGGGCTCGATCTCCAGTAGGGGGTGTGCAGAAGACAGCAAATCAGTGATTCTCTCTCATCATTGATGTTTCTATCTTTCTCTCCCTCTCCCTTCCTCTCTCAAATAAATAAAAAAATTTAAAAAAGAATCATTACCATATTTTGCCTTAGTTAATAAACAAACAAACAATCCAGTTTCATGATTTCCTTTGGCATCTCAACCACTGAAGCATACCAAAACCATCACCATAAAAACTTCTCAAGAGTCACCACTTCAGAATTCTGGTGGTAAGGCATGGAATTCTATGAAGGATTAAATCAGCTGCCATTTGAAGTGACTATCCAGCAAATACACTGACCGGCCAGATTATTAAGATCCCGCCAACAGTACAATGAAGTGAATTAGTTATGCAAATAATAATAATAATAATAATAATAAAACCTTGAGAGTATTTGCTTGGGAAGTTTTCAATATTCAGTTTTTTTGGAAGTGTCAATGAAGTACTGATGGGGTGGTCATAATAATCTGGCCACTCAGTTTATATGCAGTGGGAATCTCAAAGTTCCAAAAGATCTCTAGCTTCTGCAGCTCAGAGTTGGCTCCAAAATAGTCAGAACAAGAGAACACGCTATCTACTTCAGCTACTAACTCAGGTAGAAACTTCATGCCCATGTTTAATACATCTGTTTCTATGGTGGGGGGGGCGGGGGGGGAGAAATTCCAAATAGCTGATTTATCAAAGACTTCATAATTCATTCACTTTGAGACTGCTAATATAATTATAATCCCTACTTTATTGTTTTTGTTTCAGCTTTTACATATCTAACATAATAAGTTATATCTTAAATAAATGTTCTATTGCCCTGGCCGGTTGCTCAGTGGTTAGAGCGCCGGCCCATGGACTAAAGTGTCGCAGGTTTGATTCCTAGGTAAAGGGCACATATCTTGGCTGCAGGTTCCATCCCCCGCCCCAGTTGGGGTGCGTGTGGGAGGCAACCAATCAATGTGTCTCTCTAGTATGGATGTTTCTCTCTGTGTCTCTTCCCCTCCCTTCCACTCTCTCTAAAAATCAATGGGGGAGGGGGATGGAATCCTCGGATGAGGATTAACAAAACAAAAAATTAATAAAAATGTGGATCTAAATTTCAATTGCTTGAAAAATTTACTTTTATACATTGATAGATGTCACCTGATACAATGTCACTGTGTTAAATAATAAAGGTAATACATTTGATCTAGTACATAGCAAACACTATAGCATAGATGTACCATGTACTAGATATAGTCCTATTTACTCTCTGATAAAAGATTAAGCAATTACACAAACCACAACTAGAGTCTGAGCATAAAACAAGAGCAGTAGGCTAGTAGACAGAAGAACAAGTCATAGCCCCAATACTGCCACAACTTTTAGTCAAGTCACCTTACAATTCTGGGTCTAAGCTCTTAGTTCAAATGAATGATCTCTAGGGTTCAATTCAGCTCTATACTTTAGACTTCACTGTAAACTGTTACTTTATTTTTTCTAAATAGTAAACAACTCTATTAATTTTTTTAAAAAACACCAAACAGATCTGTCAACAGCTTAACATAGTAATAGTAATCACAAGAGAAAAAAGATTTCAACCAGTTTCCCACATTTCCAGAACATAGTGGCCTGTAGTTGTGTTCCATAAACTGTATTCTTTAAACATTTATTAACCACAAACAGTAAAACTTGCTGAAGAATGAATGTCAGATTCAAGTTCTGGCTCAATCACTTATTAGCTATATGACACTGGGCAAGTTAGTTCATCTCTGTGCCTTGCTTTATTTACTACATATATTTTAAATTACAGTCATAATGAAAAATAAATGAGGTAATATACATAAAGCACAAGCTCAGTGCCTGGCACACAAAAATCATTCATTAAATCTTAACCATTTTTAACTCTGAGCTAAATCCCATTTTAAAGAACTCTTAAGAACAGACCACAACTTTGTTATAAAGAAATTTATGAGCTGAGCATTTACAAATCATTTTGTTATATAAGATCTTCATTATAGTCATATTTCTCATGTTGAAATTTTAGCTTTTTATGCCTTCTGGAATGTGGCTGTCAACTCTATCTTGCCATATTTTCAGCTTTTTAAAAAAGCATTTATTAACTAGTTAAAACACATAACAAACATAATAGTACACTTACCTACAATTCATCAGCATGGTTAAATTATCTATGTACTACTAGTCTCAAAAAATAAAACAAGTATCTAATTCAAAAATACTAACGGAAATGCATAAAAATTAATATCTGGATAAAGTGTTTATACCATTATCATTTTAGAAAACACCCACTTTGATTCTACATACACTCCTATATTTTAATTTCTTAAAAAATCCTTTTTAAAAATGAGTACGTGATAAAGAATACAAAAGTTAATGTGAGGAAGTTCTCCATCTCCTCAGACTCTAAAAATTAGAGTTATTCAATGAAATAATCCAAGAAACCACATTATAAAGTCAATCTTTGTTTTTTTCTCAGGATAAAAATGATTCAATTGGGGTTGCACTCCTATCCAAGAAGCTGACAACACCAACACCAGATATGATGAACTAAACATAAAAGGAAAAATATAAGAAAAGAAATTAATATAATCATTTCAAATAGTAAAATTTTATATTCAAAATAAGTATAGCATATAAAAATAAAGTTCAACTAACTCAAATTAGTCTAAGATTAACATGCTAGATGTAAGAAACATTAAACCTTTCACAGTTTTGCTTATATACTTAGGAGAGTTTTTTTTAATGGAATGATTTGTATGACACAGTAATTTAAACACTGTTCAGAAAAATATGATCTGTTACTTGTTTGCTCTCAAATTTCCCAAGAAATCAGGCATTAATATCATTTCACTAATATAAAAGCTTTAAGTTGTTTCATTTTACAAACAATTCTTTCATTTTTGTCACTAGTGGCATATCTATGCAGGTTTATAATTTAGAATTCTAATCCCAAATGAATAAAGCTTTAAGGATTCAAAGTGGGTTCTTAACTGTAAGTAACATTCTAATATTTCCAACTCTAGTTTTGTGATCTCAAGAATTTCCAACTATTTCAAGTAGATACTAGAAAATTAATTTTAATATCCATTATCTTAAAAATACTGCACAACAAAAGAAACCAGCACCAAAATAAGAAGAGAACCCACTGTATGGGAGAACATATTTGCCAAATGATAAGCCTGATAAGGGGTTAATTTCCAAAATATATAAAGTACTCATACAACTCAATGAAAGGAAGACACACAACCCAATAAAAAAATGGGCAGAGCACCTAACAGATTTCCTAAAAGAGGACATACAAATGGCCAAAAGACATGAAAAAAATGCTCACCGTCACTAATTATCAGAAAGTTACAAATTAAAATGACAATGAGGTATCACCTCACACCTTCCAGGTGGCTACCATCAATAAATCAACAAACACATGCTGACAAGGATGTGGAGAAAAAAGAACCCTAGTACACTGCTGGTGGGAATGCAGACTGGTAAACCACTATGGAAAACAGTATGGAGTTTCTTCAAAAAATTAAAAATGGAACTGCCTTTTGATCCAGTGATCCCACTTCTAGAAATAGATCCTATGAAGACAGAAACACCAATCAGAAAGAATGTATACACCTCTACGTTCATAGCAGTGTTATCTACAATAGCTAAGATCAAGAAACAGCCCAAGTAGATGAATGGATTAAAAAACTGGTACATTTACACACTAGAATACTATGCAGCTATAAAAAAAAAAAGAAGGATCTCTTACCCTTTGAGACAGCATGGAGGGACCTGGAGAGTATTACACTAAGTAAAATAAGCCAGTCAGAAAGACAAGTATCACATGATCTCACTTATATGTGGAATCTAATGAACAAAACAAACTGATGAACAAAGTAGGTCCAGAGACATTGAAGCATGCAACAGACTGACATATTTCAGAGGGAAGGGGGAGAGGTGATAGTTAATCATTGAATTTATATGCATATATGCATAGCCATGCCCAGACAATGGTATG